ATTCACCCGTGAAAAGAGGACCGACACACAACATCTCTTCAACGATTTGAAAACTGCTTTTGACAGCATGAAAAGAGCTACGTTTATGCCGCTATGTCTGAATATGGTTTAAAACTAACAGAGCAATCCTAAAAACTCCCTCCAAAAGAGGTTTCAGACAAGGTGACTCTCTATCGTGCGAAGCAAATGCGTCTGGTAGTGAACAAGGGCAAGGCGAAATATCTGCTGTCATCAAACAAATAGTCGTCGCACTCACGTCTATGCTCTCGCATCACTTTTAACAGTCATAACTTCGAGAAAAAGGTTTCGTGGAAGATGTATGATCATGTCATCTAAATGGAAAAAGACGATCCAGCTCTGAGAGTATTCGATGCAGTATCCCTCAAGGGAAGCACAGAAAGAGTTGCATTTTTCCAACATTGATGAAGATTTGGGCTAACTATAAATCGTTGAGATTTAGTTCTAGTGGCGCCATATATATGTCAGGCCAGGTACTTTTCAATTAACCTATTATACGGTTAGAGAAGAAATTATGTGAGTTTTATTGGCTATACACACATACAGATATAAACATAAATAAGTATGTATATCATATGCCCAAGCACACATACTATGCAACGCTAATCACGATTGCATGAGCACTGTCTGGGTGATTGGGCGACGGCGCGTGGAAGATGCCGCTAATGGGCGATCGATAAACAGCGCGACATCGTCGACAAGTGTTGAAAATGCGATAAATAATCACAAGCAGCTTTTTAGTAAGAACAAAGAACTAATGAATAATTACTACTGATCAGCTGCTGCTGGTACGCCGAAGAGTTATTTAGTGGCGGCTTGCATGGGTGGACACTTAAGGGGCGGCTCAAGTTTGAACGATAATGCTTCGTACGCTATTTGAAGGTTACTTTAAGTCCTCAAAGGCGATTAGTGGTTTGCTAATGTCATTTGAAGTCGATTTTTGTTTTTTTTTTTTTGTTATCGAAAATTACACTAACGCATGAAGTTTGAGTCGATAAACGGCTAAAGTGCTGTTAGTAGAGCGGGCCCCATTTGAAATAGCAGCAGAAAAGGGGAAGTGAGTAGATGAATGGCAGCGGGTGGGAGAAAGCCAGCGCTTTTATGCACACATGCAATTGCTTAGTTTCACTAGCGCACACTTAGTATATTTTTAGGCGTTAGCTCATTGTGGCGCGCTCATATGTGGCACATTACATATATACACAGTTATGTAGTTCTTGTTATTTATATACTAAATATATACAGCTATGTAATTGTAATTATTGTCGTCTGCACGGTTATATTAAGCATACGGTAATTGCATTTAATTGCGCTGTTTGCTATTGTTGTAGTCGCCATGCTGGATTTGTTTATTTCGCAGTTGTTTTTTTTTCGTTTTGGTATTTTTCGTTTTTTTTTTTTTCTTACTTTTTTTTCACTGCTGACATTTTTATGGCTGGCCCCTGTCATGCACATGCATGTTTTCATACATATGTATGTAAATATGCGTATTTACGGTTACCACGGCCATTGTTTAGTAAGATTATTATTAAAATTTTCGCCCGCGTTCGCTAGTGCAGCCCGCTTTACATACGGGGTTGTATGTCATTTCGGCATGTAGAAGTAAAATATACATATGTACATAAGCGCGCTTATTATACTTATTATTCGTGTCGGCACATTGCTCCTGATGATCTCAGCTAGTGGTGCCGGTTTGGGGGGAGCGACAATTGGTAGTTTTAAACTTTATCTAATAATTAAGAAATTCGCTATATTTTGAAGTGTTGAAGTTTGATTAGAAATACGAAAAGACTTTATCGACTACCAATATGTATATAAATACAGTAAATACATACATTTTGTACACAAATAATAAATACTAAAATATATCTTCTATAAACAAATGTAAATATTATGCACCTTATTATTCTATTGTTCAAAGTGCTAAAATTTGTACCCGAAATATCACAATACTTCAGCAAGTAACCGTAGAACATGGGCATACTGAATTAATACGTACAGAGTATACTCGCAAATATACTACCACCCACTACTAACACGAAGCACAAAGGTCATTGCCTCGCTCTTTATGATTAATGGATAATGTCAATACTGCAATTGTGAACGAACAAATGAGTCTTTGCATAGATTATGTCGTTAAAGCAGTAAAAATATACACATATTTTATATAAACATTATATACTAAAAATAACTGCTATATAGTGTATAAGTATGTACCGCATTTGATTTTAACGCTTAAAGTGTATAAATACATGTACATGCATTCTTATATGTATATATGTATATTACTGTAAATAGACAGATATTAATAGATATACTTTTTTGTATCGGAAGATAAACAAACTAAATACACTAGGTGATGTTTCATAGGCAATTGATGAGAATTCTTTACGTATTACGTAGATAACCCATTCTAAAAATGATATTTTGAGCAATCGGAAATTACATATCCTCTTTTTTTGAAATACATATGTATAGTAAAAGTGCTTACTAGCGAAGAAATTCTTTTAATATAAGAAAAGTGTAAAAATGAATTTTTGAAGTATTATGGATAATTAATAAACATAAATAAAAATA